GTCAAAGCAATAATAAAAATTCGATATCTATTAGTAACTTGAACGGAGGTGTCATGTAGCTTATAAACATTAGGTCATAAACGAAATGCATACTTGTAAACCAATAAATCTTATTACGTAGTCCATGATTTGATAAATAATACTGCTTTTATGGGTTTTGAAACGATTTTTATAGTAGTTAAAATTACCAAAACTAATTACATACCATAATAATTACAAAGATAATAATTAAACTAAAAACAGATAACAGTCTAATTTTATAGTTTTTACAAAGCTTCAAATAATAGATATAGTAGCTATCAAATAGATTCACCCAACTATGAACAAATACAAGATTAATGATTTTAAATTTAGGCTATATCGAAAATTGTTATGAATTCCATCAACCCCAAAACTTGAGGAAGTATATAACAGAACCAGGTTTATAAAAATAATCTTCAATAACTGATATACTTCAGTCACTTTACGAAAAGATTAAGAACCTTAGAAGAACTGTTGCAAATGCCCAAAGTAAGGAAAAGTAGAAAGCAAGAAATATTGATGGAACACTTACAAAGTTTCCGCGGGAAAATTATGTACGAAGCTCTACACAGAGAGCCGGATCAAACGATATAATGCATAATAATGTATAACAAGCATCTATAATAACAACAAAGGATTGAAAATAGAAGCCCTTCAGAGTCTAACAGAAAGGAACTCCTAATAACTAAAATATAAAAGATAATATTGAATCAGTGGTTTTGTAAAATACCTTCTTGAATACCTTCTTTGTCACGTCGTAGATTTTTAAAAGTATAAATAATTAGCTAAATAATATATACAACAAAATGAAAAGCTTTAAAAACGAACTTCCAATGATTATAAGTCGACTGTATATAATACCGACTTTTAATGACATGGTTTTAGGAGCGATCGGATCTCGCAGGTGTTTCTATCTACTCCTGTGGCTCCATTAGCAGTATTTAGACATGCGGGGATATTCAGTCAAGTGATAAAATTTTGAGCTATTGTTTTTACGATATTATAACGTTCTCCGAGAATTATCACCGGGCAGGTCTGATATATTTTTCGATATTCAGAACACCAACTGATTGATTATTATTATTGTGAAGTATTGCACAAAATTCAAATTTAATTAGTAATATGAAATGTGAGCCTCTGATAGAAATAAATAAATAATTAATAAAATAAAAATTTTACATTATTTGTCATTCACAACAACAAAATTAACAGAATTACAAAATAAACAAAAACTGAATTAACAGCTTTATTTTACAACTTTTCTGAAAAAGAATTAAAAAGGGGCGTGCAGACGTTCGTCATTTTGTTATTTTACCAAATACCAAATTACCTAGCAACGCCTGAATATCCCTAATAATAACGTTTAATTTATATTTTATAATTTTATATTGCACCAGAATGTGGACCAGTTCCACGCCTAGTTCAAGTCATTATTTTGCGTATTAATTAATCAGTTTATTATTTGCTGAAATTCAATTTCTATTATTGATCATTATCAGTTGAAAATATCAATAAATAAATAGAAGCTAAAGTTTCATCCTTCTCCCATCCTCTTCTTACCTTCTTCTTATATAACATAACTAACTCATTTAGTCAGCTTGTAAGCCATTTTAATTCCCTGTTCTAACCCCGTTCTTACCTCCTTCTCACACAACATTACCATCTGATTTGGTCATCTTATAAGCCATTTTTATTTGCTATCCTAACCCCCTTCTTACCTCATTCTCATACAGCATTACTATCTCATTTAGTCATTTTATAAGCCGTTTATATTTCCTTTTTTATCTCTTTTCTTTCTTTCTTTTTATAGAATATCCTAATTCATTTATTGATCCTCTAATTCATTTATATTTCCTATCCTATCCTCCTTATCTTTTTTTTTTATAGGACATCCTCATTCATTTATTTATTTTCTAATCCATTCATGTTTCCTACTCTACAAGTCCACATGAGTTGCAAAATTAATATATTTCTATTAATACATATAATAGCAGAACAGTCAGAAGGCTCTGTTCTAGGTTCAGAAGGCGTGTGCTGACAGTTGTCGAAGACATATATTGCCCATTGTGATAACAGTCATGTTACCTGCCTTTAAATCTGTCGACTAGTCTATATGATTTCATATACATGAATATATCAGTCTTTGCGCTAATCGAATGATTTTTTGTGAAAGTTATTGTAAATGGATCTTTAACGAAATTTAATCTAATATTTTTTTAACTTTGAGTTAGCTTAAATAATATATTCAGTGATAAGAATTCACTTACCCAAAACAAATTTACTAAATAATCCAACTGCTGTTACAGCAATTTGGCTGACAATATACCAGAGCTTTGAAGGATGCCTAAGGCGATGAAATATCCAATCAATATTATGTGGCATAGTAGGCTTTTGCTGCTGTACTGCAGGTTCCAGTAGCGGCTTCGGCCGGGGCTGCGCTTTTGTCTGAGTCTGGGATTGTTGAAAGTGGTACTGCGGACGGAGGGATAGTTTTGCTTTGTTTATTTCACACATTATACACTGTGCCTAATTGCTAAAATCGGTTGAACAAATTTTGATCAACATGGTTTCTATTCAATTTTCATAAATTTGTTTACATTTTTAAATTTAACAGTTATTTTCTTACACACATTCTTATGTTTCAACTATATATAAAAGAAAATCAAGATAATTAATTAATTAATTAATTTTATATAAAAAAGAAATAATATTTCTGGGTTAACACAAATAAAAGACTATTCACACTTTTATTAAGAAAACACAAAAAGTCTTCATTGCATTTAGAATGCATTCTTCTATTCACTATAAAAGAGAAATTTTTGATGAGCCAAAACGGAGTGCAAGGGAAGCGAAAGGCTTCCCCAACTCAGAGATGGGGAAGCGCATTCAATGCGCAACACATGCTCGTCAATACAAGAGATTTACCAAAAACATTACTCATGAAATAGAAAGTGTGGAGAATTTATTTCACAGCAAATTATATAAAAACTAATAATCTTAATTTATCTCCTCGATTACTTTTTTTACACATTAAATATATTAAAATTTTCTTATTTAAGCAAAGCAAATGTCAAAAAATTTTGAATAATTGTCAGAGGTATTACGATATTCAGTTCAAATTTAAATCGACTGTTACACGACCGAACGGTGGGAGCTTACAATGCGTACTGGATTGAAGTGAAATTTATTACACAGCGGTGAATTCAACTGTGATAAGTGAGACTGACTGTTCACTTACCTAATTGTTTTATGGCTCCAACAGTTGCACTCAATAAAAAAGTGAAAAAAATAATCTATCTATGCTATGATAAGACCAATAAATTGTAAAATTACAATAATTTGATTTTGATAACTCGAACGCGATAGTAACTGATAGGATGCTAAATACATACTTCTATACACAATTCAATTATAAATAATACTTATATTTTAGGTTAAATTAATAACATAAAACTAAACACATATATAAAGAACTTTTAAAATTTATAAACAAAAATCGGCAAGAGTTATAAAATAAATTGCGCCAAAGTAAGAAAAACAAAGATTAAGCAAAATTTAATGCAAATGACCATGGTTTAAATGCTCATGTTGTCGACATATATGCGTCCTTAAACAATTGAGGCTTTAAAAATCCATATTGTGAGGGTCATTTGATAGGCGAAACCCAATACTAATTATTCAATAAGTCACAACGTGTTCCACATGGCACTTACTCGGACTGGCACAGAAGTCGTGCAGCAGGTTACCCTCTGCAGAACCGTTACTCCGAACCGCCCCAAATGCAGCATCCTGTTTAGATCTTGATATGACCTCAACATAATTTACTGATATGTTTATATTTTTTTATTTAATTAAATACAACTAATTATGGTAATAACGTCTATGTAAACTTTTCATAGCGCAAGACACAACTTAAGTATTTTGTCCCAAATCCAGAACAGCTGATAGCATATATTATAGAGGAACTGCATGCCTAAATGTAAACATGTACAGCGGCGAATATTTTTGACAACGTATAAAAATGCGCGTAATGTTTCGTTTACGTTACACGTAATTAACCGCATATATGTAAAAAATCTAATATTAGGTCTGTTGCACAAGCTACTCGTAGTAAAACTTGAGTAAAACATAAGTAAAGTTCAAACTGAGACCGTAACACAAATAAATTGCCAAAATACGCTCTTTAGTCAGATTTTCATGGAACAGCTTTGTGTAAAATCTGGTGAGAACACCAGTGCAGAGAACACTATCCATAAAAACAATAATAATAAAATACATTGTAAACATCTGTGTGTTTTTATTAAAAACGATCATAATAGTAGATCAAAAGCATCATGATGTATGAGTGCATCATTTTTTGTAAGCATATTACAATCAGGCAACCATTTATTTAAGAAGGTTGTATGAAACACCGATACCACATAATAATGTAACCCAATTATTTTCAAAGCACTTATCTGAAAGAAAATACTCACAACTTATTGTTGGTAGAACTATAAAATGATGTCAACAAATTAAGTGTGTTACTTATAATAGATTTTTGAATCTTATATATTTAGCTCTGCGCCATTGTTTACAGTCATATGACGAATGGTTACATTGAAAACAGCAACAGTTTCAAATTTGATATGAGCATTACTTTCTGTATAAAATGATGCTTATTTAATTATAATTCTTAATTTAAGTATAATTTATTTGTGGCTTATTTTCTGAGTGGGATTCAATACGAAATCAGTTAACACATTTTTATTCGTTAAAGGTATAGATCTTTAAGTAAACATTAATATTCTACAGTAGTTAATACTAAAAATATCAAGAGATGATAATTTTTTCAGATATGCAATATGCTTAAGCAAACTTTACGGCATGTGCGACGTTACGTTATGCTGTCTTACGTCCTGCCAACCCTGTTTGCAAATATTTGGCATTAAAAAGATAGCAGCCCTGCTCTTGATATACATCTGGCTTAAGTACCGCAGTTTAGTGCAATAACATAAACATAGTGATAGGTTAAAATAATGTCAGGACATTTTCAGCCTTTAACTCCAGTTCGTGTGCTAAGAAAGCTCAAAAAGTTATCTTTGCCAAAAGAGGGTCAACAATACGTGATAAATCGTAACCCACGAAATCTGGAAAAATTACGTGTTGCTTATAAACCAAATGGTTATTTGTTGGAAAAACCTGGTCGTTCTTATTGGCACAAGTTGGAACTAAATATTACTAATCGTTATATTTCAGCTGAAGTAAAGCATTTCGAAAATGGTCCAGTAGTAACAGCCAGTTCATCAGAGTGGGCAATTAAAAAACAGTTATTTAAAACGAACGATGCTAGCGCATATATAAATACCGCACGAGTGTTTGCGCAACGTTGCCTTCGATCAGGAATAACTGAAATTATGTGTAAGATAGAAGCAA